AACACCTGGCTGCAGCTATGTAACAGCCCTCTCCCCCTTCTGCCTTCTGGTGACAAAGCAAATGGAAGAGAAAGATAGTATCTAGGCAGGAATGGATGGCTAAGTCTTCTTAAGTTTAATTAATTTTTCCTTCTTAAGTCCTTATAGCAATGGTTCTCAACCTTTTCTTCACCACAGACCCTCTTTAAATACCTTTTGTGGCTATAGACTCAAGATTTAAATTTATTTTTTCAAGCCTTCGCAAGACACCCTATGAACTATGACACCTGGGGGTCCGCGGACCACAGGTTGAGAACCACTGACTCTTTTGTCCTGCAGTACGCTTTCAAATTCTCGAGAATCCTAATATTCTTCAGTCAATTTAAAATAAACTGCTACAGGCAGTCCTTGACTTACAATTAATCACTTAATGACCAAAGTTACAAAAGCATTGGAAAAAGTGAGTCACAATTGTTGGAAGAAATATCCTTCTGGGTTCAGTTCCAAGTGAAGAAAAAGACACTGGAAACATGGTGACTGCTTGGGGAGATGGTTTAATGGTGAGCAGGACCACATGCCTGGGAGTTCTTGGGTGAAAAGGGAAGAGATGCTGAGAGTCCCTGGGTTTCATGCCCTCTGTTGGGATTTGAATTTGAGCTTGTGTTCTGATTGGTTGTCAGACTCCCATGGGGCTATGCAGGAACAACTCTGTAGGCTGTCCTGAGTGCCAGGCTTGGTTGAACCTTGCTGGATGATGATGTAATGAAAGGGCTTTGGGCAATACCTATTATGGCTGTGCTTGAAGGAGGTAGATCTTTGTTATGTAGAATAAACTGCCCAAGACCTTAATGGCCCATTGACAAAGATGGGAGAGTGGCTGAGTTTCTGCCTCTCTCAAATTTCTACTTCTCTTTTAGGGGAAATATTCTGCCTTTTTAGTATATCCTAAAATATTTCATTTTTCTAGGAGAGGGGTGGGTTTTAACTTCCAACACAACCTTGCACTTACGACATTTACAGCATCTCCAGTCACATGATCAAAATTCAGGTGCTTGGCAACTGGCATGTATTTATGACAGTTGCAGCACCTTGGGGTCATATGATCACCATCTGCAACTTTCTCAGCCAGCTTCCAACAAGCAAACAACATAAATCATAATAGGATACTAAATAAATCAGCATAAATCATGAGATACAACAAGTTAGACTCATAAGAATATAAGGAAATAGGTAATAGGACAGATGAGAAGTATAATAAGCACCTATTAGGTGGTTTGACATCCCAAGATATAGACTGTTGTGGGAATTGTTTAACTCCTTGGAGGGGGGGACCTGTCTTTGTGTCTGGTTGTTTTAGCATGCAATGCCCTGTAGTGATATCCTAAGGCAAGGAATTGAAACAGTTTATGTCCAGGATGTGAGGGGTATGTAGAAATTTTCAGTCCCCTTTCTGGCTCGTGCATTATACAGGTTCTCAGTAGAAGGCAGGCTCGTTGCAATTATTTTTTCTGCAGTTCTAACTATCCATTGAAGTCTGTGCCTGTCATATTTGGTTGCTGTGCCACACCAGTTAATAGAGGTGCACATGACAGACTGAATAATTCCTTTGTAGAACTTGTATCAGCAGCTCCTTGGGCAGTCTTGAGCTTTGAGTTGGTGCAGGAAGAACATTCTTTGATGAGTTTTTTTGATGTTAGGTGTCCATTTTAAGTCCTGAGATATTACAGAACCTAGAAATTTGGAAGGTTTCTACTGTTGACACTGTGGTCTAATATTGTAAGAGGTAGTAGAATAAGAGGGCTTCTAATATCTACTATCATCTCTAGTTTTGAGTGTGTTCAGTTCAAGATTGTTCCTACTGCACCGCAGGGCCAATTGTTCAACTTCCCATTTGTATGCAGATTCGTCATGGCTCCTTGACTGCCTGGATAAGTGAGTTGACTTCTTGCCAAAGTCATTTGCCATTACCTTTTTTTTAGGGCTGAAACAGAGTGACTGGCTCAAGGTCACTCAGCTGGCTTTGGGCCTAAAGCGAAACTAGGACCCAGTCCCAATTTTTAGCCTGTTGCCTTATAGAAATAAAGAGTTGCCTTGTGACAAGATGGGCAGCAAATAAATTTAAATAATAAAAAGAAACAGTAAAGCCAACTATAGAAAAAACTGGTGCCATCCCACTCCCTGATGAAATTTACATTATTACACTCTGACCTTAAGAGTGAGATTTTAAATGGTCTTCGGAAAATTAAGTGGGGGGGGGAGGTCAGATCACAGAAGTTATATCTTGTGTACCAATTAGGTCTATTCTTAAATTGGGAGACACAACTCATGGTTACTACTTGATTGGACTACTGCAATTATATCAGGCTGGCCTTGAAGACAATTTGCAAGCTGCAGATGGTCCAGAAGACACTAGCTTCTAGTGTGATTAGCATGTCCTGTACTGGGTGCATACAACACAGCTGTCCTGGAATTTTATGTTCATCCGAGTTCCCTGGGCAGATGGACAGCTATATAAACATGTTAATACTTCCTTTCTAAACAGGTTTCAAAACCTGTTTTGAAATCAAACAGGATTGCTATAGTATATACCCTGTGCCACTTTTTGTCACTTAAAAAGAAGGAGGAGGAACATAATTTTTATAACACAACCTCCTGACTATGGGGAAACCACCTATTTCTCCCTTTCCTCTGCTGAAAGGTGTCAAAATGCCTTTCTTTCGAGGATTCGATTTTCCCGCTGGGAGAGCTCTGGCTCAAGGATACGGACAACTGCTTGAAAGCTGGATCTTTTTATTTTTCAGGAAGGCGGAGAACAGCGTTCCTGTGCTAGCTAGCTTCTTATGGTAAGTCCCTGGTTGTAAGTTGATTTTGTGTGAGTGTTTGTATTTGTGCCTAATGTTTCAAATCCTGTTTGAGTTTGTCTTTATTTCCGCCGGAGGGCAAACTCCGCGGGGTGTGGAAGGCAAACTCCGCGGGGTGTGGAAGGCAAACTCCACGGGGTGGCCAGATTGTATTATTGGTTTCCTGTAATCTCTTTTAGCTTTAAGATAGTTTTTCATATTTGTTCTGTGGCAATTTCCTGTCTGTCCCTTTTGTAATTTATGTTTTGTGTCTTTTGTGTGTTTGTTTTGCTTATTTGGTATGTCCTGTGTTTGTAAGGGTTTTCTAAATTATCTTTCGTTTTCCTTTCCCTATTTGTCTAGTTTTCTTAATTACTTAGGCTTTTGTCTATAGGGATTCTTTAATACTTTTTATTTGATTCCTTTTCCTATGTAAGTTTGTTTTCTGGCTGACCTGATGTTCCCCTTGGGCTTTTCCTGTTTTTTGTGACACTACTGTCTTCGTGAAGTTCCCTTTCCACACCTCCTTTTTGGCAGGTAGGCCAATCTCACAAGAAATAAATCAAAGCATTTTCATTAAGAGAGGTTGTAAAGCTCCGCTCTCTCTTCCTCCCCTGCACTCAGCAGCTTCCCACAGATCAGTCCTTAACCTTGCAGGCTTTGCAGAGGGAGGGGGGTGGTGGTTCTGCAGGTGCACCAGCAGAGGGGGTTTCACAGATGCAGCCTGCACTCCATATGTGTGAGTGGCCGACATGTCACCCGTTGCTTGCACAAATGAAGTTTCATGCATGAACCATTCACGCAAGTGGAGCTGTGTGCGCTTGCTGCTTGTTAGGGACCCCGCCATAGAACATCCAAAGATAAAACAAACACTACAAGTAGTCCTTGCCTTACAACCACAACTGACTTAAAAATGTCCATTGCTAAGCAAATGAATTTTCCTCCATTTTACAACCCTTTTTTTTGCCACATTTGTTAAGTGATTAGTTTGCTTGTCAAAAGATTGCAAAAGGGGATCAAGGGATGCCAGGACACAACTGTCATAAACACATGCCAGTTGCCAAGCACCTGAATTTTAATCACATGACCCCGGGGATACTGCAAGTTGTGAAAAACGGGGGTTTTTTAGTGCCATAATTTCAAATGGTTATCAAATAAATGGTTGCAATTTTAGGACTACCTGTAGGTGCAGGCAGCACCTTGAAAGGGGCCTCCAGGAAAGATAAAGAAAGGAGACCAGGGAATAAAATAATTAGCAGATGACACATGGCTACTGTACAGATTGTCCTCGATTTACAACAGTTCATTTAGTGACAGTTCAAAGTTACAATGGTAGTGAAAGTGATTTATGACAGTTTTTAACACTTATGACTGTTGCAGCATCCCCATGGTCACCTGATTGAAATTCAGCCTCTTGGCAACTCATATTTATGACGGTGGCAAGATCTCACGGTCATGCGATCCCATTTTGCGACCTTCTGACAAGCAGTCAATGAGGAAGCCAGATTCCCTCAACCAGCTAACTTAACTGCAGTGATTCACTTAACAGCTGTGGCAAGAAAGGTGGTAAAATGGGGCAAAACTCCCTGAACAACTGCCTTAACAGAAATTTTGGGCTCAATTGTGGTCGTAAGTTGAGGACCACCTCTACCGCTCTCCTCATAAGGGACCCCATAAGGAAGGGACCCGAGACAAGCAAAGGATCCGTTTTGGCAGGGGTTTGCTTTCCAAGCTTGTTTCAGTTTTCATTTCTGAACGTTTCGTTACCACACCAGGTAACCTCATCAGTAGGATTTTCTTGCCTTATTCCTCTTTAGCTTATCTACGTTTCAAAAAAGGACCCTTTTGCACGGAACCCACAAGGCGGGAACTTGAATACGGACCCGGACCAGGGTCGTTTTCGACCCTTATTCTCTGGAGGATGATTTCCCTCAGATTTCTTAATCATAGAAGAATCCCACGAGCAAAACGCCCTTTCCACAGCCGCCCGACTGCCTCAGGCGCGGGCCTGCAGCCTCTGTTCCCTCGCCCCCCCCCCCCCCTTCTCCGCGCCTCGCTCGAAAAGGGCGGGAAAAGGGCGCTCGCCTCGAGAACCCCGCCCCTTTTAACGGCCGGCGCCCTCAGCAAGTCGGGTGGGCGTGGCCAACGGGGCGAGCCCGCCCCCTCGCGTCAGCGCGGCGGCGACGACATCGGGCGACCCTGCAGGATGGTGGCTGCGGCCGCGGCGGCGGCGGTGGTGCCGGCGGCGGAGGCTGAGCCAGGCGGCGGGTAGAAAATGGCGGATTTCGAGGAGCTCAGGGTGAGCGCGAGCGGCCCGTCCCAGCGGAGAATCCTTTCTCCCGCGAGCCCCGGTGAAAGGGAGGGGGGGGGCTGTCCTCTTCCTTTCTTCCTCCGGCCTCCCCGAGGCTGATGGGAATTGTAGTCCGGCGCCTGGGAGTCGCGCTCAGGGTCGGGACCAAGCTCCTTTCCCGGTGGTGTTTTTTTTTTTTTTAACCCCCACCTTCCCCGTCCTGCGTTTCCTTCTGGTCGCCCTCGGACTACAAGACCCATCCTCCTGTCCCTGCCGGACTCGTCTCGGCGGGCGGCTTCTGAGGGCTCCCAGCGGACCCTCTCGGCGCTTCGGAGAGCGGGTGAAAACAAAGGGAGGGCTTCTAACCACGTTCGAGGGGGGAGGAAACCCGTGTTTTTTGTTTTAAATCACCTCAGGAGGGGAGCCTGGACTGAACTTGGCTGCCTCATCTGACCCCCCCCCCCCCCGTCTTATTTCTTAAGTCACCCCCTGCACTCCCCCTTTTGTCCTAAGGGACCCCTTATCAATCCCTCTTAATTTCCCAAGTCACCTCTACCAAACCTCTCTCTACTTCCCAAGTCTCCCCTATCAGCCCCCCCTTATTTCTTAAATCTCTCCTAGCAATCCCTCCTATTTCCCAAGTGATTCTTAGCACACACACACACACCCATATTTCTTTTACTCACCCTAACTCCCTCCCTTATTTCTTAGGTCACCCTGTCAGCCCCCCTTATTTCTTAAGTCTCCCCATAACCCCCCTTATTTCTTAAGCCATCCCGGTTAGCCCCCTTATACTTAGGTCATCCCTATCAGTCCCCACCTTATTTCCTAAGTCTCCCCTAACATCCCCCCTTTATTTCTGAAATCACCCCTATGTCCCCCTTATTTCTTAGGTCATCCCTATCAGTCCCCCCCCCCTTATTTCCTTCTCCCCACTAACCCCCTCCTTTATTTCTTAAGCACTGCTATCAGCCCTATTTTCTAAATCACCCCAATCCCCTTCTTTTTAAGACCCCTCTTGGCCCCCCCTTATTTTCTAAGGCACTCCACCCCCTCCCTTATTTTTTAATTCACTCCTGTCAGCCCTCCCTTTCCTAAGTCAACCTCCTCCCTATTTATTAAGTCATCCCTCTCCCACAGGACCTCCTTTTGTGTTTCTTAAGACATCTCCTTTCCCACCCCAGCAATCCATTCAGTTTGGCTTCACCTGTGGCCCAGAACGATGAGCTTTTGTGTCCCTTCATAGCCTGCAGCTCCCAAGTTACTCAGTCCACGTTTCTCCCTTGCCTCTTTCCCAGCCTCTCTTTCTACTGGTGTTTCGTCCTATGCCAGGCTCTTTTGGCGAGAAAAACAGCTTCGTTTCTCACTTTCATAAAAAGGGATTTTTTTGGAGACTATATTAATTTTTCCCCTGTGCTTAGTATCCACCTAACCCCCTTCTTGGATCCTAATTTTGTTCTTCCTTTGTTGTGTCCTTCTTCTCCCCTCATTTTCAGAACAGTCCTTTTTTAAAAAGCTTCTGTTTTACTCTGCTGGGTTTCATTCCCTCCATTGAACCACAGAAAGTACTAGGCTTTCTCTGAGTGTCAGGATCCAGTATAATATTCTACATAGTTGAGAGGCAGTCCCATCTATTATCTGAGACAGGTTTTAAAAAATAGGCATGATTGGGCTTTTAATCTCTGGGTTTACTCTTGGAGTCCTGATGTGAAGATACTTTTCCTGAAGTCTGAAAGCCTTTATAGGCAACCTGCTTTAAATTCATTGTTAGATACAGATTACTGAGCTGAAGATAATACTGATGGGTTATGGCACTTCAGTTAACAAAGTCTAACAGTGCTTTGTAGATTTAACTATAGGTAATTCTCATTTAATGACAGTCACTTAGCAACTGTTTGAAGTTATGATGGGCCCCTCTCCCAAAAGGTACTTAGGACCCAGTTCTAGGTTTCTGAAGGTGGCAACCCTCCTGGTAACAAGGCAAGCTTAGCAGCTGCCTTGCCATAAGGCCAGTTTATATATATATATATATATATATTTTTCACACTTCTTAATCTGCAATCTTTTCAGACTTGCGTCACTCTGCAGTCATGTGATACTGTTTATGGTGTTTTAGCCAGAAATTGGCCTTTTCAGTCAGTTTCCAGGAATAAACACCCATAGGAATGCATTGACTCACTTATCAACTGCCATGTTTGCTTAACAACTGTTGCAAAAAAAGGTTGTAAATCAGGTTGGTCACAAAGAGTGTCTTGATTTATAACTGTCATGATTTATGACAGAAATTCCGGGCTCCATTTAGGTCATGTCAAGGACTACTTGTATATCACCACCTCTTGTATACCTTATGACAAGGGTCTTCAAACTTGGCAAATTTAAGATTTGTGGACTTAAACTCCCAGAATTCCTGAGCTAACATGACTAGAGGAAGGAATTCTGGGAGTTGAAGTCCACAAGTCTTAAAGCTGTCAAGTTTGAAGCCCCCCTGCCTTATGATTTTAAACCCTTTGTTTTGTTTTATGTCCTGAAGCTGAATAGGGGGAGGGATATGCAGGGTCTAACTTTTTTTAGTTATGATTTTATTCTGAATTGTTAAAGTTATACTTTTTAGTATACAAAATATTTTTATCAATGGCCAAAGAGAGAAAAGAAAAGTACAAGTATGATTTGAAAGAGTCTTCTTGAATTGCTGTTTCCTTTCCCCCAGTATCTTCTATTTAATTTGATTTCAGTGTTTCAGATAAAGCTCAAATTTTAATTTATGGCATAGTCTTTGGAAGGTTTGTTGACCTAAGAACTGTTAAAAGGGGAAATTAAGATGTTATAATTTAACAATACCCTCCATATCTATTCAATACTGTTAACTGAGAATTCTGTCTTGATTTTTTTAAAACATGTTTTACATATTTGGTTTCTCTCTCCATTGTTGAAAATTTCTCCCTTGAAACATTAAATGGCAACCTGACATGTTCAGTATCGATTAACCAAATAATACTGTGTACCTAATTTATTTGACTATTGAAATGAAGAGACAGTTGTTTAAGTTTTGTAATGTAAAGTACTTGAAATTGCAAAAGTATATTTCTACTCATTTCTTTTGTCATTTATCACAGTGCTATTATGGCCATGCTGTGTTTTGGGGCGATTGCATGTGCACGGATAACAGCTGAGAACTGCTCAGATTAAGGAAAACTTTTCCCAGGGTTGTGTTGTAGCTGTAGAAGGTGGCCATAGAGGTGCAATCCTGGGAAAACACACAGCTTTTTTAAGGAACTGCTGACAGGTGCTGTGTGTGAGAGGTCCTTGGTATTCTCTGAGCTTGGTTGCTTTCTTGCATACTTTTCATTACTCAAATTAAGTAGCATGAATCCTAGCACTGATGGTAGGAGTAGCACCAATGATTTTACCTAGCTTGGGTAATGAAACTTACACAAGAAAACAATCCAAGCTCAGAGAGTACCAAGGATCTCTCATTTCAACCCTGAGCTACAAATATTCTTTATTGGTGCTGCATGTATTTCTGCACACCTGAAAACACCAATTTCTCTTAAAATCGAAATACTAGACACCATCCAAACAATATAAAGTCAAAGTGGAGATGAGGTTAGACTTTACAAGAAGATAGCAAAATATGTCCCCAAAATTCCAAGAGGAATAAAGTTCAGAAGTTGTATAAATATGTATTATTATACAGATAGTCCTCACAATGATTGAATTAGGGATAGGAATCTTCATCGCAAAGCACCACGGGTGTAAAGTGTGACATCATCTGACTGATACCTTGGGGAGGGGGGGGAAGTGGTACTAAAAAAATAAGAAAAAATATGATATGTGTCTCTGAAAACACATCAGAGAAGACTGGAGAAACTTAGAAAACTGGAGTATAGTCTAATAAAAAGCATTAGGCTCTTTCCCATGTTAATTAATGGGGAAACCCAAACTTAAAAATTGGGAAAAAGAGAATGATAAGAAAAGAAATCAGATGGAAGCAGGGACTTTGTACCTGTTGGTAGATGATGAAGATGTAACATTCTCTGTGTCAAGAGACAAATACCATCTACCACAGCATCCCCAACATTTCTGATTTTGTGTATCGGGAGGGAGGGAGGGAAAGAGAATGATAGGCAAGCGTGCTTGCAACTCCATTTATGCAGGTGGCAGGCACATGCACACGCCGCTCGCACAAATGGAGCTGCACGCATGCACTCGCCTCCTGCTTTTGCAGCCTGGTTCCAGCTGAGTCAAGGCCTGTGGTAATGGGCTGCAACCCAGAGATTGTGGACCCCTGATCTACCAGATGTAACCCAATGGTAATATTAATAGTCATAATATTTGTTAACGTTTGATTGCCAAGTGCTTGAATTTTGATCACATGCCCATAGAAATGCTGCAACGGTCGTGTGAAAAATAGCCATAAGTTATTTTTTTCACTGCCTTTAAAACTTTGAACAGTTGCTAAATGAATTGTAAGTTGAGGACTGCCTGTATATGAAAGTTTTGATTGTCATTAGAATAATGAGACTAGATTGACAATTATGATATATGGAAGATTGCAACTGGGAATGTAAAAAGGAATAAATGAGAATGTGTTGGCAAATGGAATGAATGAAAATAGATGCATGTGAAACAAGAAAAAAGAAAGGATGTGATAAATCTCAGCATATGGTGCCATGAAGTTCCTTTCCACATGAAGGAAAGTGTAGGTTTTATCATGAATTAAAGAGCAAGTGCATACAACAGAAATCTGCTTTATATCTTTAGTTGTGGTAGAAATATGCTGGTAGAAATAGATATATTTGTGAGAGTTCTATGTTAAAAATGAAAAAAACCAGAAATAACCTAAGGGAAAAATATAACAAAAGAAAAGCAAGAAGCAAACAACTGCAGGAATGGAAAGTATGAATTCTATATTAAAACGTAATAGATGACAATCTCCCAACAAACAATGGAAAATGTATATAAGAAAAAAATATGGGGGATGCTTTCAACAGCATGGAAAAATGATATCACCCAGTGCTACAAGAATGTGTGATGCAAATGAGGATGATGAAAAAGGATGATTGGTGGGCCTGCGATTGAAGAAAAATAGCATATAAGGAATGCTGGAAAAGTGAGAGAAATGAAAGAATATTGTAGAAAGGATGTTGCATGAAGAAAGAGAGTTTTGATTCTAATGCAAAGAAGCCCAACTTCCTCTTTTCCCATCTCCCCACAAACCATTAAATATAAAAATAATTTCAATTGCACAGAGCTGTCCAAATTGCCTGGTTAAACTGGAAGAACTACAGGGAAACATAGGACCCAAGGCAGCAAATCAGGATAACTTGTTGAAATTGGTGTAAGACCTAAACATATTTTGCCATTCTTTAAGCCAGAGTTTGCCAGGATGAAAGGCCGGAAACAGAAATGATAGTAGATAAATAATATGGACGAGAACAGAAAAATAAGGAGGCTTGACCCTTGATTTTTGACATTTTTCGAAAACCAATTCAGATTGAAATAATTCCAGGGAGAGGAAAAAGAAATGCCATCTAGCTTATCTTTCCTTAATATCACCAATACTTATATTTTCTGCATCAAAAATAAATAGATGACTTATGTGTTTGGTATATTTTCAGTTTCTTCTAATAATTGCTTTAGGAAGTTCCGTCTTGACTGCCCACATACTGTCAAGCTGTTATCATTAGCACCTGAATTTAATCAAGCATTTAAAAATAATCATTTTGTACCTTGCAGCATAATATAGAATGGAATTACAATACTCTGAAGTGTCCCCAAATTCTTGAGAAGAGGTTTTGATGGTGTAGAGAGAGGTGGAGAATTCCCCCCTCCAATTTTATTTTCTCTAGGTGGGGATTTCTATCATTTACAGCCCAACCCACCTCACAAGGTGATTGTTATGGGGGAAATAGGAGGAGGAAGTTGTGTTGGATATGTTTGAGTTATTTGTAAAATAATAAAGATGGGATACAAATAAGTAAAAATGCAAAAATAAAATAATAACACCCATCTTTCACAAGTAACTCTGAGTAGCTTACAGGATTAAAAACAACTCCCCCCTCCCCTCAAAAATATGATTCCCTGCTCCCTGGGCACTCAAACAATGAACAATTAATCACCTATGGTAACAGAGCTTATCTGCACCCTGATTGGGGAGCAGCCAGGTCTTCAGTGCCTTATGGAAGGCTCACAGGATTGGGGGCTTCTGAATCTCCAGGGAGGGGGCTATGCTGTTCCACAGAGCAGGTGCTGCTACCGAGAGGACACGACTCTCAAGAGGACATGGTTTAATAGAAAGGACCTGGAGCACTTTACGAGGTTTGCAATAGTGGCAAATATCTGTAGCTCGGGTGTAGGATGAGGGTGAAGGTTTGTTTTCCAAGCTTGTGGGTTGGTTTCCAAATGTTTCGTTACCAGGCTAGGTAACATCTTCGGCGTTTAGGGGATGTCAGTGTTTATAAGAGCTTCAGGTGTGGGTGTGTCAAGGGAGGTCTCTTTACCAGGTCTCTGGAGACTCTTAAGGCCAATTCTTGGGAAGCGTTTAAGGACAGATTCTTATGAATCTCCAAGAGATTTCTGACTTCTGGGGTAACTTTGCAAAGCCCTATCATTCATTTGTTTTTACTGTTGGAACATTGCTTATAGGAAGAAAATTCTAGACCTGGGATGGGACTCCTATAGCCCTCCAGGTGTTGGCGAATTACAAGCTTTGGTAGCACAAATTAGCAGACTCGGTGATAAGGAATGCCAGAATACCTTGAGGAATAGAAGATAACTTTTGAAAATGGAGGTGGAACAATAAAAGCCTATTGTGATAGCCACTGTGGTTGGATTTTGTGGTTGGAAACTGACTTGCTGTTTCTCAACTCTCTGTAAAGCTAATGCTATATTTTCAGAAGGTCTGCAGTCCTTAATTAGGACCATTTGAATTTACAACCTTACTGAAATAAGTGACTTACGACTGGTCCTCACACTTAAGACCGTTACAGCATCCTTGTGGTCACATGATTGTGATTCAGGTTCTTGGCAACTGGCGGTGGTTGCCATGTCCCAGGATCATGTGATCACTATTTGTGACCTTGCCAGCTTCCGGCAAGCAAATCCAAAGGGGGAAACTGGATTTGTTTAACGACAGTGTCAAAAAAAGTTTGTAAAATCAAGCGTAGTCATGTGCATGACTCATTTGGCAAAAGGTGTTCCGGTTCCAATTGTGGTAGTAACTCAAGGACTATGTGTATTCAGTGGAAGGCCGAATTGTGAAAGATAGGCAAATACTCAGAAGAGTAGGTACATTTAGCCATGAGAAAATTTAAGGAGATAATCTTGTGCTCTTATTTATTTATGTATTTATCAAATAGAATTCCACCTCAAGCCACTAGTTTAGTGTTCCAAAGAATGAATGCAGATTAACTGATACATTTAAGTAGATTATATACGTTCTTCAAACTGTGCTATAATCACAAATATCCTGCATGGAACAAGACGATGGGTATGAGACACCCTGTAGCTATAAAAATCTGAAAAACTGTGAAAAACAGTATAGTGTTTGGGCTTTTAACTCTATGCTATAAATGTGTCACTTCATTAGAACTTACATTTTACTTTAGAGCTGCTATTGTGGAAGTTAATGTTGCTTGTTCTATGAAAAATTATACTTATTGAGAGGAATGGGTGGGGAGTGTATGTGTGAGGCGCAGTTTGAGTAGGGCTTTTAACTCCATCCCATTTGCAATACCATCACTATTCCAGTGACTGAATTGGTTAAAAAAACACCCCTAAATTGTGAAGGTTTTGTTGCCCATATATGGTATGACACAATATTATGATGTAAATAAAACTTGATCATATTTATTGTAACTTTTTAACTTAGGGCTGTCAATCCATCCTGCCACTGCCCATCATTTCACCTATTCTTGATCTGTTGTTACTCCTAGAATATGGTATCAAGTTTTCGGGTGTCTGAACTGCAAGTGTTGCTGGGTTTTGCTGGACGTAATAAAAGTGGGCGCAAACATGACCTCCTAATGAGGGCTCTGCACTTGCTGAAGAGCGGCTGTAGCCCAGCAGTTCAGATCAAGATCCGGGAACTCTACCGGCGCCGCTATCCCAGGACAATTGAAGGCCTTTCTGACTTGACTGCTCTAAAATCTTCAGTTTTCAACCTGGACAGTAGCTCTTCTCCGGTGGAACCTGACTTAGCCGTGCCCGGATTGCATCCCACACCTTCAACCTCGGTTGCTCCCCAATCACCTTCCTCTCCTCTTGGTTCAGTGTTACTTCAGGACACCAAGCCTCGTTTTGAGATGCAGCAGCCGTCCCCGTCGGTTCCTCCAGTGCATCCTGATGTTCAGTTGAAGAATCTCCCTTTTTATGATGTGCTTGACATTCTCATAAAACCTACCAGCTTAGGTAAGTGTGCAAAAATAACGTGCGTTCGATACAAAGCTTAGTCAGGGCAAAAAATAATGAGGTGATGTGCCAAACTGGTTTGCCCTGATTATCGTTTCCAATCCAGACAGAAACTAACTTAGAATTGCTTGCTTGTTAATGTTCCATCTGATCAGCAATCCTATTTTATGTATCCTTTAAAAAGAGCTGTACCTATAGTATGGTGTCCCAATAGCTATTATATATATATATGTTTTCTTAAGTTTTCGCGGGTACTTACATGTATGGTATTCAGCTTTGTTCGGGTATTTTCCCACATCATTATAGTTGTGCTTTTAAAGTTGTAGCAACGTTTCGGCAGAATCTCATCTGCCATCATCAGGCTTCTGTATTGTGTTCGTCTTGAGCCGTTTCTGTTTTAAATTTGGTGCTAGCCTACTGCTGTGCCAGAATGGTTTTTTTCTATCCTCATTGGTTGGGAGTCTTGGTCTGTGTTTATTGGTCTTGGAGTTTGCTG